CTCCTCCCCTCCCGCCGCTGCCTCCGCGCTGCCCACCGCCCCAAACAGTGAGGACACCCGTCCCGCTCCCTCCCTCCCTCGCTGCGGACACCGCTGCCCGCTCACCTCACCGCTCTCACCCCCGCGGAAAGCGCCGCCGATCCCGACCCGCGGCCGCGTGTCCCCGCTGCTGCCGGAAGCGCGCGCGCCGGGGCGGGGCCAATCCGTGCCCGCCCGCCTGACCGGGAGCCACGTGACCGCCGCGAAGATGGCGGCGCCCACCGCGACCTTCCGCTGGCTCCTGCGCCGCCCGCCGCCGCTGTCYCGCCCGGGGCTGGCTGTCACCGCCGCCCCCCGCTCCTACGGCGTGCGGGCCTCCGACACCGGCGAGCTGGTGACGCACACSGGGCAGGTGAGCCCGCGGGGCCCGGTGCTGCCGCCTCTACGCTGCCCGGGGAGGGCGGCGGGCGCGTCCCGCGGGCTCCTGAGGGAAATACCGGGGCCGCAAGCAGCGCGCTGGTGTGGTGTGGTGTAATGGGGAGGCTTGAGTTGGACATCGGGAGGAATTTCTTCACGGAAAGGGTGGTTAGATATTGGAATGGGTTGCCCAGGCCCAGTGGAGTCACTGTCCCTGAAGGTGTTCAGGAAATGGCTGGATGTGGCCTCTTAGTGTCATGGTCTRCTTGACATGGTAGTGTTCAGTCTAGTGTTCTGGTTGGATTTGATGATCTCAGACGTCTTTTCCAACCTAATTTATTCTGTAAGTCTCCTTTCACTGAGCATAGTGGAACTTTCATGCTCTTGGATGATCCATACACGATTTTGGAAAAAAAACAACAAAGGAACCTATTAATCATTGGCCATTATCGAGCATTCCGGTCTGAATCCGGCCTGTGACCCAGCCGAAGAGTTGACAGGTGGAGCCACCCTTGTGTCGGTGCTTTGCAATTTCACATTAGCACTTTTCCTATGGCAAAGCTGAGCGTGTCAGCAAGGGAGGCTCGTGTGGTGCCTTGAAGAGATGTGAGAGGATGGCTGGTGGAGCTAATGTGGGAAAGCTCGCTCTGTGGTCACTTAGCTGAATAGAAATAAATGCAAAACTTGAATTTYCCAGTTTAGTTCACCTGCCAGGTATCAGTATGAGATCAAGGAACAGCATTGAAAGTAATACCTCTATGATCAGAACTAAGGCTTCTGTTTACTGGCTTTCATGCCACCCTCCACACCTCCAGTTTCTTTTTTTTGTCTACTTTCCAATGCGGAATTTATTTCCTTGTGTGAGAGATTCAAGCTAATTTTTCAGTATACTGCCTGCTTGTAAGGTGAAACTAAGACTTGAACTAAGTGGTGAAGGTGAAACTGACTTTGAAACTAAGTAAACGGTTCAAGCTGTTTATTTTCTAAGTCTTGGTGKTCTGTGTTTATAGTTGTTGCTAATTAAATACGATCAAATTTATTTTGGACTCTAGGTATATGACGCGAAGGATTATAGAAGAGTTAGATTTGTCGGACGACAAAAGGAGGTAACTCATTCTGCTTTTTCTTGTGGGAGAGGGGGTAGTTTATGGGTTTTTTTCTTTGTACCTGATAGAAGTGTCTACAACGTCATGGCCGTTAAAAAATCCCCAAACTAAAAAAGCCAAAAAAAACCCCAACAACCAAGAAATCAACAAAACCCAAACCCCACAACCAAAACCAACCAACCAAAAAAAATCCAACCCTGCCAAAACCCAACTGGTCTGGATTTTGGGTTTCAGTGGGGTTTTTTTCACTACGGTGCAAATTTTTTTTAAGGCAGCTTATAGTAGCTTCTGTCTTACCTCCCTGCTTTTAAAAAACCTGTAAAACTCAAGACTTGCTCTACATCTGTTAAGTGCTTGCATTTAAGGTGTTAGGGTTGTAGGTGTTTGAACATTTTAAACTTGGAGCAGTTTTTGTTTTAAGCATGTATTTTAAGAAACTGCTAGTGTGTTTTTGTGCATTTATATTGAAAAAAGTTATGTAATTACTCTGCTGAATTGTTAGTCTGTTTTTGTGTCTGTTTACATATATGTTTTGAAGCTTAATTTACTGCTGCGTGATTAAAATTCTGATCTTTACCCAAAGTGAAAATGCTGAGAAGCAAATTTGCTGAAAGCAAATACTGATAAGCATTTGATGAAAGAGTGATGTAACAAATCAAAGTAAAATGTAGAGTATTCTGAAATTATGAAGCCTCAAATACAAAGTTTGGTAATATCAGCCTCATCCAAGTGCAGTACTGGAAAGGTGGCCCTGTTGATGCTGCTTAGAATTTCACACACCCACTCTGTTGATAAGTTCTTCATCACTGAGGTTTCTGTAATGATGAAGCTCCATGAGGGATCTGCTGGGCACTGAGAGAGAAACAGTTATTTCAGTTAAATTGCATTCCTCAGTGACTGAGTCTTTGAATAGTGCCTGTGTGTTAGTGCTTTAAGTGTTTATGTATAGCAAAGGCTATGTAATTATAAGGTGTGGTAGATTTTTTATATAGCTGGATTTAATTCTCTTCCTAAATTAACCTGAACTAATTATACTGAGATCTGARTTTTCATATTGAGTTTACCTCACTGTGTGATGGAAACAATTTAACTCATGCTGTGTGGTGAAAATGGGGTTGTACACATGAAATAATTAAATGAAAATGTCACTTAAAATGCTGAATTAGCTTTCTTCAGGGAGGATAGTTGGCAAAGTAGGTCTYTCCCAAGTGTTRCCTGCTTCTAYTTTATAGAAAATGCTCCTTAAGCCTAATTCTCCACAGGGCAGTGGTCCCTCTAATGTGCCTTTGCCATCAGGTRATGATGGTGGTGGAACACCCAAGGTTTTCAGTTCAGCCCAGTTCTTCCTTCTCCAGCAATTGCCAGGTTTTAAGTCTRCTGAGCAAGGTTTAATGCTAAGTTTTAATAGTGAAATTGGACCAAATTTGCATGCTAAACACTTAAAATGATATGTGCCTATTATAGGATCTTTTTCTAAGGGCTTTGTCGTTATCCCACAGTGGGTTTCATCTGTCACTGTTAGGGTTGACAGCCATGTCTGTAGTCTGAATGTTTTGTTTCTGAAGCAAAAGCTCACCTGGTGGCTRTTCTTTCTTGGTTGCTTCTTTCCTTTGCCTTCAGTATGGTCCAAGTGGTTAAATAAGGTTTGGGGTTGGCCCAGTCCAGCCACAGCTTTCCTATCTGGGGCAGCTTCTGGAGCCTGCCCCAGTCAGGGTGATTGGGCCTGTGTGCTTCAGGTGGTCAGACCCAGGGACACAGCCTAGAGTATGTGCTTATTGTCCCCTTGGTTATGCCAGCCTAGTTRTTAGTGAAATCCATGTGTTTTACCTAAAATCATTGTTGTCTYTGGGGGACTGGGGATTAGTGCTCTCTGGCAAGGGCCTAAAGCAAGGAGCTGTGAGAAAACTGAGCATGGCAACTGCTAAACTACATCTGCTGCAGTCCAACGAGGTCATCCTGCCCTTCTGTAATCCCTAAGGTCATCCTGCCCTTCTGTAGTCTCTAAGGTAGAGCAGGACCTATTTCAACACTGCCATTCCTGCTTGAGCTCTACCCTTTCTGTTGGGCTGGTGCAGCAGCTGAAGGTGTGAGAACTGATCTGAGTGCTGTGTGTTTTAAATATTCTCTCCAGCCTTCTCTCTAGATCTTTGGACCTGGATCAACCATGTTTGGCTTTATCGCTTTGGTCTCCCAGACCATGTACTGGCACGGATGGATAGGTGGGAAGAAACTGAAATGAAATTGTCAAACTGGTGCTGTAGCCAGGAAAAAAATTGCCTATTGATTGGGCAAGGCACATCTGGATGTGCTGAGGGAATCAGCCCCTTTCTGCTAAGTAGTGCTGTGCTTTAGTTGTTGTAACTGCAAACACTTCTTTTTTTTTCTGTGGTGGATTTTCCCTGTGAATTCCTAGACTGTCTCTTGTTTAATAGGGTGAGCCACAGATGAGTCTCAACTGTACAGTGGTGAGAGGTTTTTGCTTCCCTCTCCCCCCACAAGTACCTTTTGTGGTTAAGAAATACTGGGATAAATGGAATTCGTGCTTCTAATCTTGAAGTGAAGCTGTATTTTGATTCTGTCTCCCTCCTCCTTTAGCACAAATGAAGGATGCACAGTTTTGAGTGTTACTGAAAGCAACAGTAAAAGTCCTTGCAGTTAGRCAAAAATTACATGATTTCTGGATGCAGGCCCCAGACAGTGGAGTTCACTACTAAAACTCAATTTTTTGTTAACTTTCTTTAGCTATTATCATCTTTGGTAGAGACAAATAGTTGATTAAACTGGCTTTTCCATTATTGTACCAAAATACGCAGATTTGGGGGACACTTAATGGGAAGCTTGGTGAAAGATGCTGAGTTGCTATGTACTAGGATCATATAAAAATACCATTTTAGTTCCTAGGGATTTATGTACTGAATGTGTAGCTGTCTTTTYCCCAAGAATCTCACCTTTGTTCCAATACCAGGATGCCTATGAACTTTATACACAGAGCAGTAGATAGTGCCTYCTTTGGGTGTGCATGTTATTTGATATTCATGCATGTATAACACGGCCTTTGAAAAAGATGTCCCCTYCCCTTTACTTTTCCCTGAGTTGTAGAGATAGTCATCTGCTCAGTGCAGGCTTGGAGAGTATTGGGAGTGCTCTAGGTCCTGCTGAGGGACAAGCTGCTGTGTCACCAGCCWGTCCAGACATGGATATGCTTGCAGGCCATGCAGGTGTATTCTAAGAAGAAGCCCTACTTGTCAGTGATGTRCATATTCGGTAGTGTGTATGATGGATTTACAGAGTGGAGTAGTGACATTTAGAGGTTTTTGGTTTTTTGGATGCTGAACAATTTGTCTTTCTGACTGCTGTTATGCACCACGTTCATGTTTTCATGAGATTCCTGTGCAGTGATAGAATAAGGTACATGGCTAGGGACTCTAAACTACCAGCAGTTGTTTTATCTCATGCCTGACCTTACTTGTTTCACTATTATTTTTGGGTTTATCAGCAGAGATTCTTTTGCAATTTTATCAAGTAGTCACTAAAGCAGAATACAGTGTTGGTTAAATATCTTCTGTTCTTGTCTGCTTGTTCCTGCTCACTTCTCTGCTGAATCTGCTGAAACCTGATGTGGTCTGTGTATCAGGGGAAAGGGATTACTTTTGCAGAGTTTAATATATAGTTCATTGATCTGGCTTAGAGCACAGCCTAAGGATTGGTGGAAGAGTTGGGAGGAAACCTAAGCGGGAACTTCTCAAAATGGCTGTAGTGGACCTGCCTGGGGAGGCAGCAAATAGCAATTGTTTTCTGTTTGAGTGGGGATGGTGTTTGAAAGTTTCCCTCTTTTTCTTACAGGTGAACAAGAGTTTTGCAATCGATTTGATAGCAGAGCAGCCTGTGAGTCAAGTTGAAAGCAGAGTGGTATCATGCGATGGTGGTGGTGGAGCTTTGGGACATCCTAAAGTATACATAAACTTGGTAATGTCATTATTCTGCATATGGCATGTTTTGCCTGAACATTCTTTTTTTTTGTAAGATTATCTACTTTTTGGAATGTTAACTTAACAAAATATAAAAACAAAATATAAGGAGTAGCCACCTGAAGTGCTCATTTTATTTGGTGCCTAATATCAATCAGAAGAATTAGAGAGCATCCATTTGAAGTGACAGAAATTCTTTATTGAAATTTTGATTTGTTTAGTAGGACAGTATTTTTTTTAAGAAATCAGGGGAAGTAGTAAGAAGCACTGAGAGCAAAAATTAACATTTTTGCTGCATTTTGAGACTTATACTGTAATTATTTAAATGCCACCATGTAGTTTGACAATGTTTGCCTTATTCTTAAGAATATGCAGTTTATTTTCAATCTTGCAAGTTCAAGGGGAAAAAAAAGAGGAAAACCAAACAAGCCACCCCCTTTTTCAGTCTCTGGTAATCTTTCTACTCCTGAAGAGTGAATATTTCAGTCATAGCCAGAGAATGAAGAATAAACGTTCCTCTTGTTGACAGTAGAGATAGTTTCCAGTGTATTCTTGTTCTAGAGAATAAAAATATTGAGGCTACTGTCCAGTGACCTTAGTTGATCCAGCTGTTGCTTAGGTACTGTTCTCAGGTAGACCCTGATTGCAGATGTCTTAAAATCTTTGCTTGCTCACCTAAACTTTGACATTTCCTAATGCCTAAAAGAATGATAGGGAAGAACTGGTGTCCTTTAGTGTCGGTGTTGTTGTGACTCCTAACTAGAGCCATAAGCATTTTTATTTTGAGCAAAGTAAGAACTTTGTAATAATTCATTTTACTTAATTCAAGTCAAAGTCAAATGTTTGGAGGTTCTGATTTGTAACACTTAGGAAGGAAGCTTGTGTTCTTYCACCTTTACTTCTGTAGCACACACCTGATCTTTATGTTGATTTGTTTGACCTGTGCCACATTCTTGAAGAATACTTTATATTTCAGGTGTTTTGAGACCTGTTTTGTGTTCAGAATCATATTACAATTTGTGATTTAGTTCTTGAAAAGTAAAGTCTGCAAACAGAATGGTATTAGATTAGCTTCTTTTCCCTAGTTCTAGCAACTGAAATCCAGGCTTTGGGGAATGGAGGATAGCTTGGGTTTTTCAATTCTAATCCTGTATTGGGGGAACCATGAGTTTAACTTTGTTTCATGACTGCAAATAGTTACATCCTAAATAACAAGAGCCCTGAGTATTTAGCTGTATTGTGTTTTGTGCTAGGAAGGACTGCAGCAACAGCTTGCAGTSAGTTACRCTTCAAAATTCTGAAAAATACATGKWTTTTTTTTAGGAAATAATGAAATTTTATACAGCATTCATTGCTCCTTTTCTACAAAACACTTTCTTTCAGCATTTCTCATGGATTCCTACTTAAATTTCCTCCTTCCTGCAACTAACTGTTACTGACCAAAATTCCTGTCTAGGAAATGCCAAATCCCATTCTGTATTAAAATAATTGTGAAATGATCTTTTCAGAACATTGAACAGATATGACCAAACTGGCATAAGATATCCAGTTTGGTAAGAGGAGCATGTATTGCTGAAGAGATATAACTTGACTTGACTATAAAATTTTATCACCGAAATAAGGCCTGGTTGTTGAAAGTCTGGCAATAAGGGAAGCTGCATAGGATATAGAAATAAAGCATGAACCTCATACCATCATTTTGCTTTCAGTGTTTCAAATAAGACTAAACTCTGTACTGTGGCTATATTGATAATTTTTAAAATGGCAAAAATAAATAAGAGAAAAATTGTAATTTCTAAGAGTTTTATGGAGTGAAACGAGCAGCTATTGTATTTTTATATTTTTGCAGGACAAAGAGACAAAGACCGGAACATGTGGCTACTGTGGACTTCAGTTTAAACAGAAACATCATTGAAAGATTATCCCTGTGTGCTTGCACATTTCTGTTCACATGTTAACGTTCAACTATAAATAAACAATATATTCAGAAAGCCAAATTTGTGTTTATCTTAACTATGGAAAGTCCAGTYTGTATATTTTTAAAACCCAGCTTGTCAAGTATTTGAGAACTGAATGGTATTACAATATCTGCTTTGTACTCAMTTTAGTTTTCATGTTTGGCAGACTTCTCGCAGGCTTGGAAGTGGTGTTTGGCTGTAGCTAGGTTTGGTTTGTACTGGATAGATATGTATTCTTTTCAACACTGAATGAGCTGTAACTGTTTACTGGGTGATTATTATCCTAGGTGTTTGTCTTTTGTCACTGTGTGACACTCTTAATTGGTTCATGTCCCAGTATCTAAAGCTAGAGTCACAAGTGGAAGTGCAAAGATATTATGATGTTTACAACACTCACTCCTGGAAGCAAGATTGTCAGCCCTGAATTAAGCATCTGTTCTTGCTGCTTGTTTAAAAGAAGCCACCAGAGAGAGAGAACTACTTGAACTGCACATGTGAAAGGTGAGGACATAAACATTAGCCTTTCATTTGAGGGGGTGAGCGTGTATCTGGTTTTCTTGGAATTCACACCCTTAAAACCTCTCTAGGAACTGGGTTTTGTCAGACTCAGTGTAGGCATTGTTCCATTACAGGTGGCAGCTTCTCCTCCTTTAATGCAGGTAATCTGACACTGAGACCATCCAGCTATGTGTAAGACCACATAGGCTCTGTGAGGCTGGTTTTGGGACATAGCTACCTACTTGTTTGATTTCACTTAGGTAGCATCTCATCATGTGAACATGACTTTCAAACAGGGCTTCTGGAGGAGATGGATCTGAGTTTTGGTCTTTGCTCCAGAAGCATTTTAATCTGTTGTCAGATTAAAGCACAGTCTGAATTATTCTGTCTGTAGAAGTTGTGTGTTTAGAGGCTGTACTGCATGTGATTAATTACATGAACACCCCTCCTCTGTTTTCATTCACCTATAAAAGCTTTATCTCTTTGTCTCTTTCCCTTATTCCTCCTTCCTTCACTTTTTCTCCTTTTCACTGCTGCTGGTTTCAGTGATCATCTGGCCTTCAATTTATCCTTAGTAATGACCTAGATTTAGGAAGAACTAGAGTTAGGCGTTGTTGTGCAGTGTAGATTACTGAGTACTGACCTTTCTGTCATGAGGCCAGGGTCTGTTATGAGGGTTGTTATTTTGTAATGCTAGTGCAGTGGCCAAGTTAGCATATGTTGTGTTTTGAGTAGCACCTGAGCACGTACAAAGATGGCCAAAGATCCTTCCATGAAACCCAATAATTTTTAGTCTGACCTTGTGCAAATTATCTGTTGTCTGAGYATAAATGTTATGAACAGTCTTCTGATAAGTCTCATGCTTTAACTAGCAGTGGCTGTTTTGAAGCATAGAGCTGGTTTCATTTTAGTCTGGCCCTCTACCARTTTGTAGGGTGTCTTGGCTGGCAGAGTTTTCTCATGGTGCAATCATCTCTGCAAAGAGACCTGAAACAAATAATTGTATGCAGTCTTCTTCCTTGGACCTTTGATGTTCTAATGAATAATATATTTGCTTGGATCACTGCTGCTCATAATAAATTAACAATGTTTAAATTGGCACGGCATCTGCTGAGGACCAGACAAATCCCATCCCACTGGTCTGAACTATGGAATGCTGTTCTTGGATGTTCTCCCTAAAGTACTTGTCCTACGTGAAGCTGTTGACACCSGTGAAACAAAGGCCTCTACTTGGCTCTGGTGATCTTCATAGGAAGACTTTAGACTTTGCTTATTGTTTCCTGTGTGCTAAGTTCGTGTATCTACCAGGGAATGACTGTTTATGTGAAGTCTTGCACTTTGAACTAYGCCATCCACATACCTGTGGAAAGGCCAGCCTTGATTTGCAGGAAAAAGAAGTGGGGAAAAGCAAGAACTTTTACTTTACTGCTTGCCACAAGCATGTGGCAATGGATCTGTGAGGATAGACTAAAACACATCAGTATCAAAGTAAGGGCAGACTAAACCAAAGTATAAGTACCAAAGCAGTTTTACAGTTCTCAGGCCACAAATTCAGACTTGAAAGCAGTATGGAATAAAACTTTCAGACTTGAATTCTATCAGTCACTGTTTTGTTCCTCATAAATAATTCATCTTAGGCTGCAAMTACAGTCTCCGATTAGTGGAGTACAAGCCATAGTTTATACTCTGTCCCTAGGGAAATGTGAAGTACTAACACATGATAATGGTCACATTATCTTGCCTTTACCTAGTAAAACCAGCTTGGCTTTTTTCCCTTTACTGCTGCATATGTTAAGTTTGGTGAAAATCACTATGTATTTAAACTTCCAAAATTAATAAGGACCATCCATCCTTTTCCCCACCAATGCTTGTTGGGCTAGAGCCAGTACTAAAGGAGGCCAGATGGGTTAAAATCTTACCCTCACGTTCAGTGGACAACTAGTAGAGCTGTGAATTTAAGTAATATGTACATTGTAAATCGTTGCAGGAAAGTGAAAACAGAAGACAGATAGTAAACATTASTAAGGCTGATATGAAGCACTGAATTACTTTAGAATCAAGCAGATGTATTGGTCTAATGTGAGAGACGTGGTGAAATTGTAAAGTGTAAAAAGATTGGCAAATTAAAAGATGTATGTGTTATATTATGTAATTGTATAATAGGGAGCCGATGCAATAATTTCCAGTAATAGGCACTCAAGGGGTTGCTCTTTAGTAGTGGCTAAATTTAGCCATTTTTAAATTGGCATGCTCAGATAATGAGTTTCAACAGGGCTGTCCAATGAGCTTCCTGGATCATTAATGCTGATTTTTTTATAAGCTTTGAAATACTGGAGAAAGAGCACAAAAATGGCTAACGTGCCAACATTCAAAGAGGCTAAAAGGCATGACCTGGATAATTACATGTCTGTCAGTTTGACATCACTTCTGGGCAAAATAATAAGGGACCTAATTAATAATGAATTAAAGAAGTGGTGTATAATTAGTGCCAATCAACATGAGTTATAGGAAAGCCAGCATGTCAAGTTAGCATGATGTATTTTTGATGAAATTAGAAAAAGTGGTTGATAAAGCTAAAAGTGTTAATGTAATATTCYCTGATTTCTTTGAAAATTAGAGTTAGTAGTCTATATTTTGGTTTGGAAATGAAAGTCTACTGTAATCAACCAGCAGCACTTCACATATTTTACATGTGTTAAAGGGTAGGTAATTCTTAGGTGTGAAACTGTCAGTGTGAAATGAGACTTCTGGCTGAAAGGATGCATTCTTCTTGGGCTCTTCATGGTGTCCTTTCTCAGTTCTATGGCACTTAGCTTCCTAGGAGTGTCCTAAAAAACATGTAATAGCTACTGATGGTTTGCTAAGGATTGAAAAGTTGAAGCTTTGCTAAGTAAGGAAGAGGATTCAGAAGTGATTATCCTCTCTGCCTCTTACACAGCCAAGGCTGGCTCAAAGCTGAATATGTTTCATTGCAATGAATGGTACAGGAAAAAATGAGATGCTGTCCATATTTATTGTAAAAAATGTATTTCTGTGAAGTGATAATTGTGACAGCTTGATTTGCAATTTATCCTGTGTAAGAAACATCCTAATAACTTTGGGTTACAGGAAATACTGACTACTGCGTTTGACTGAGGGAGTTTGTTGATCATCAGATGTGATGAATTTCCAGTCCAATTCTGTGTCTTAAATAACTTTTATGAACTTTGGAGGAATAAATAGAGATGTGTTCAGCAGGCATATCTTCCTGAATTTTGCATGAGAGCGTTTGTTACTTGAATACTGAGTCCAGTTTGAAATCTATGGTTCATTAATTAATATGGCTAAATTAGAGGAAGTTCAGAGAAAGCCGTGGCACTAATTAAAAGACTAGAAAATGTGTTGTGTAGTGAAGGATCTAACAAGCTTTGTCTTTGCATTTCCTCGTAAATGAGGTTAAGAGGATGATTTGATCAGGGTCTACCAGTACAAATGCAGGGAACAAAACCTTGATAATGGGATCTTTAGTCTGCCCAAGAACGATGAGCTCTAGTGGCTGGAAGCTATAGACAAGCAGATTCAGACCAGGGGAAGGGAGGCTTCACAGTGTGGGATTTACTGAGCATTGCAGTAAATTCTGAAGCATTCCTTACTCTATTTTTAAGGTTGGTATTTTCTAAAATGTGTATTAATTGAAACAAGACTGGAATCTGAAAGCCATTATGGACTGTGTTCCAAAGGTAATTATATCCTTGCAGTGGTCCATTCTCAATCTTTGAAATGAAATATGTATCAGGCCAGAGATAGTGGTTCCATTGAACAGTGGTGCTGTTAAAAATGCCTTCCAGACATTGTTCTGAATAAGATTCAGAAAGGACTTGAACTTTGTTTTCTCACAAAAAATATTCTAGGGATCTGAGTGATGGGGACTTGAACTTTGCTGTTGCAAAATAATGCTTGGCTTTGTAGCAATATGGAAAAAGACCAAACCTCAAATCCTGGTATTAATCATGATGAAAAATTGTCATCATCTGCTCAGTGACTAACAAAGCCAGACAAACTAAAATAAAAAAAAGTAAGTGCTTCAGGACATGGACAATTAGAGGACTTCAGACCTGTTCTCACTTTCTCATTTAAGAGAACATATGTGATATCTGCACTACCTTGTGGGATGAAAACGTGAAAGGATTGTTTTGTTTCCATTTGGACTGAAGGTTATTGTAATTTTATTTTTTGTCAGTATTTCTTTTGTGGTGCTCTTGATGCTGTACCAGAGTCTGGATTGAAGACACTTGGACTTTTCTAAGCTTTGCTTACCCGTTTGTGTGCCACTCTGGATTCCAGTGGCTTCTCACATTTTCCATGGCTTTGATGAARTAGCTAGCATTCAGCATCTCCTCTGTTGGTTAATGGCATCTTCCTCAAGAATAGCCATGGAATAAAATGTTTACTGATTAATCATGAAATGTCTGATTTTTATGCCAATCAGCATAAACTAGTCATCAGATTCAGACATTTTTGAGAGGCCTGAGACAATATTAAGGAAACTTGCACTTATGAGTAAAATGTCTGTCTTTATT